TTTACAACTAAAACAGCAGTCTACATAAATCCCACAAACATAATGTTAAGAAAATGCTAACTGCTGAAAATTTACAGTACAATATGAAGTTTAATATCATGGTGAACAAAAACTATATATTGTTTAGTGAAATACATATGTGCCAAAATATCAATTTAAGAAAGGTCTCCATTTCTAGATTTTTATCATGAATAGGTGTTGGACTGTGGCAAATACTTTTTCTCCATCAATTGATATGGTCATTGTTTTTTCTTTTTAATCTGTTATTATGGTGGATTACATTAGTTGATTCCAATTATTGAACCAACCTTGCATCCCTGGGTTAAAAAAAACACTTGGTCATAATATATAATCTTATTACTGAATTTTACTTGCTAATAATTTGTAAGGATTTTTACATCTATATTCTTGAGTGGTATTAGTCTGTAGTTTTCTTTCTTTGTGCTCTCTAATGTTGGTATTAGAGTAATATTGAGCTCATAAAATAAGTTGAGAAATCTCCCTCCCTTTTCTATTTTCTGGAAGAGATTGAACAGAATTGGTATAAATTCTTTCATAAAGATTTGGCAGAATTCTCCAATAAATTTATCTGGGTCTGGCAATTTCTTTTTCAGAATTCAATTAGGAAGTCTTTAATTCAATTTAATTCTTTTTCAGTTTCTTTAATATATTTATTTATAGGGTTATTCAATTGATCTATCCCATATTGTGTGAGTGTGGTAGGTTGAGGAATTGGTACATTTCATCTAAGTTGTCAAATTTACGTATGTAGAGTTGGTTGTAGTATTCCCTTATTATCCTTTTGACATCTGCCAATATAATTTTTAATATTGGCAATTTGTATCTTCTCTCCTGTCAATTTTACTAGAGAGAAGATGTCAATTTTATTTGTCTTTTTAAAGAACCAGCTTTCTTTTTCATTGATTTTTCTCATTGTTTTTCTGTTTTCATTTTCAATTATTTCTGTGCTTATCTTCATTATTTCATTCTGCTTACTTTGGGTTTATTTTGCTCTTTTTTTAGGTTCTTGAAGTAGGAGCATATTGTTTTAAAAATCATTTTCTTTTCTAATATATGCATTTAGAGTTAAAAATTTCCCTTTCTGCACTGTTTTAGCTGTATCCCATAAATTCTGTTATGATGTATTTTCATTTTCATTTAGTTTATTTTTTAATTCCCTTGAGACATTCCCCTAGAGCCATGGATTATTTAGTAGTGTGTTGTTTTTCAAATGTTTGGAGATTTTCCTGTTATCTCTCTGTTACTCTAGTTGAATCTATTGTGGTCAGAGAACATTCTCTGTATGATTTCAATTCTTTTAAATTTGTTAAGGTTTCTTTCATGGCTCAGGATATGGTCTAAGTTGGTAAATGTTCCATGAGTGCTGAAAGGAATGTTTATTGGGCTGTCACTGGATGGAATGTTTTATAAATATCAATTAAATTCTACTGTTTGATGATGAAGTTGAATTCCTCTATATCCTTTCTGTTCCATCAATTGTTTAGAAAGGAGTGTTGAAGTCTCCAACTGTAATTATAAATCTATATCTCCTTTTAGTTCTATCTGTGTTGGCTTCACATATTTTGCAGTTTGGTTGCTTAGTATATACATTTTATAAGTATATAAGATATAGATTTTCTTATATCTTCTTGGTTGACTGACCCTTTTATCCTTATGTCATATATATCTCTGTTTCTGGTAAAATTTTTACTCTAAAGCATACTTTATCTAATACTAATGCCGTCACTCCTGCTTTCTTTTGATTAATGTGCGCACGATATATGCACTTTTCCATATTTTTGCTTTCAACCTGCCTATATTGTTAAATTTCAAGTGAGATTTTGTAGATGGTATGTAATTGAGTCATGCTTTTTGTCCACTACACCAACCTCTGCCTTTTAAGTGGTGTATTTAGACCATTTGCTCTAATGTAATTATTGGTATGTTAGTTCTTAAGGCTGGTTTTGGCTTTTGTTTTGTTCTTTGGCTCTCTGTTTTCGTTATTTTGTCTTTTCATGTGTTACTTGAATATTTTTTAAATTACATTTTTATTTATCTATAGTATCCTTGAGTGTATCTCACAAAGTAGATTTATTAGTATTCTAGATATTATATTACTCGTATATGACTTACCACAGTCTACTGGCATTGATATTTTAAGAGTTCAAGTGAAATGCAGAAAGCTTAGCTCCCTTTAAGTCCCTTTGCTCCTATTTATAATCACCTTAAATTATACATACCTTCTACATATATTAAGAACCACATCAGGCAATGTTAGAATTTTAGCTCAACAATCAAACATAATTTAGAAAACTCAGGATGAGAAGGAAATTCTATTGCACTATCCGTATTTTTACTCTTTCCATTGTTCTTTTTTCCTTCCTGATGTTCCAGATTTACTTGTTTTGTCATTTTCATCCTGTTTCAAGGGTTTTCTGTAGTCATTCTTTTAGGGTAGGTCTGCTGGCAATATATTCTTGGTTTTCTTTCATCAGAGAATGTTTTAATTTCTCTTTATTCTTGAAGGATATTTTCACTGAATCTAAAATTCTAGACTGATGGGGTTTTTTTCTTTTAGCACTAGAAAATGCTGTTCTACTTCCATAGTTTCTGGTAGTATCATGGGTAATATCATGAGAAATCCACTATCAATTGATTTTTTTCCTTATAATTAAGATATAATTTCTTTCTTGCTGTGTTAAGATATTTTTCTTTGTCTTTAGTTTTCAGAAGTTTGATACTGACATGTTTGTAGCAGATTTATTTGGCCTTATCCTGTCTGGGGTTCATCATCTTCCTGAGTTTGCAGGGTTTTGGCTTTTGGCAAATATAGGGAATTTTTTGTCATTATTTCTTTGAATACTTTTTTAACCCCATACTCCTTTTTTCTACTCTCCTTCTGGGTCTTTAATGACATAAACATTATATCTTTTCATATAGTCCCTACATATCTCTGGAACTTATTTTGTTTTGTAGTCTATTTTCTCTCTATTGTTTGTATTGTATAATTTCAATTGCTCTGTCTTCAAGTTCACTGCTTTTTATTTTTCTGTTCTCCTCATTTTACTGTTAAGCCCACCCAGTAAGTTTTAAAATTTCAATTATTGTATTGTTCAGTTCTAATATTTCCATTTGATTTTTCTTTATATCTTCTATTTATTTCCTAAAACTTTCTCTTTCAATACTGAGACTTTTTCATTTGTTTCAATCATGTTCATAATTGCTTGTTGAAGCATTTTTATGGTAACTGCTTTAATATTCTTGTCAGATAGTCCCAACATCTGTTTCATCTTGGTGTTGGTATGTGAACTTGGTGTTATCATTCAAACTGATAGTTTTCCTGATTCTGGATGAGTATTTCTTTAAATTAATCTTGGATGTTTTGGATAGTATGTTGTAAGATGACAAATCTTATTTAAATTTTTTATCTTTGCAGAGCTTCTGTGACACCATGCCAGTGGGGGAGGGGACACTGACTCATTATTGCCAAGTGGAGGAGGAATTGTACATTTTCTACTTGGTCTCTCTTGACAAGGGATGAGTGATACCTTACTAATGCTGGGTGGTGGTCAGGGGAAAGTTTAGGATCCCCATTAGGCTCCCACTGACACTGGTGTGAGTGGGGGGCATTCTTTACTGCTCTGACAGGTCCGTGGTGAAAGCTCTGGATCTCCACCAGCCCTTCTCTTCTACCACCCTGATGAGAAAGGGAAGAGGTATCTAACTACTATCAGGTGAGCAATGGACGTCCAGGTCCCTAAGTGGGCTTAAATGACACTGTCGGGGGGTGGGGGGGGTTTCTCATTAATATTGGTTAGTGGGGAAAGTCCTAGCTGTCCATGAGAACTTCACCGACACTACTCCAGCAGGGAGGCAGAAGGGAACCTTGTTACAGCCAGAAAAGGGTCGAAGCCTTTGCTGACAGGGTGAAGAGTAAGGGTGGGGCCACAGTTATATCCATGGTGTTTGACTAAAGTAATGCAGTGATTGTTTAAACACTTTCTGTCTCACTAGGCTGCCCCTTTCCTAGTCCCTTAGGGAGAGAGAGCAGGCTTTTTGTTGGAGCTTTTGTTGTCTGTACCTTTAGTGATTGGGAGTTGCAGTTTTTCCAAAATCCAGTTCAGGATATTTGAGGTAAAGAGGAAGCCCAGAAAACTCACCACTATGTTATCACTCAGGTCCTGGGGTCCCCAACGGGCCTTTTTCCTTCCATCTCTCAGCCTTCTTATGTTTGTTTTATAAATAATTTCTCGGGTTTTAGCTGTACTTAGTGCAAGAAATAGGGAAAAGTGCATCTCTTCCATATTGCCTGAAATTGGAACTATTATTTGTATATTTTTTTGTGTGTCTGAAGTATTTCATAATGACTTCTTAAAAAGTTAGATGATGCTGATGAAAGTTGAACTATTCTTTAAGACTCTGGGGGCATAATGACTCAGACTCACTCTCTGCCTCCTCACTTCCCCAGAGAGGACTGCCTCCCTTTGCCTGCCCAGCCTTGTCCCCTTGTCTATGTCCCCCTTTCATCCCCCCCCCCCCAAACCCAAGAAATGACCTTTAACCAGCTCCTATTGAGAATAGGGTCAGGTGGAGGACAGAAACTAATAGCAAGTCATGTTATACCTAAATTCGATTTTGGGAAAGGGGGTTCTCAGAGGAGTTTTTGATATTTTTAAAAGAGAAGTCATTGAAGGGTTTTGATATTTAAAATATTTCACAATTAGTACAGTACCATGTGGAGGCTCTCCTTCCTCTGAGTCATCACGTGCAGAGGTTTCAGAGAACAGACCATTTACCAATCCAAAGCGACATGTTTCAATGTTTTAACTAGGATAGTTTTCCTGGCACAAATCAGCTGAATACCAGCCTTATCTATAACTACTTATCCTTTCTCTGTTAACACTGAGTAGTGAAAACTGAAGAAAATTGTTTAAAAATATTTCTAATGACGAGCAGTACATAATTAGAAAAGGGTGAAATTTAAAAAACTGATACTTTTTATTCCTTCATATTGCTAAAGCAAGTTGAGAACCATGACAAATTATATTAATTAACTGCCTTTGAGAGATGCAGTTGATAGCACATTGGCCACATGTTAAATAGAACACTACAATCCTTTCCTAATCAGAAGAACAAAATACTTCAGTCCTCTAGAGTATATACTAATGCTCTAAGTGGACATACTGAAATTCAAGAGCACAGTCCCCACTGGATATATCTGAAACTCACTATGTGCATAACAATTCAGAGGCCTTGGGAAATTTTGCCATCTGGTATTTCAGAGCAGGAAGCAGCTGGAAAAGTCATTAATAGCTATGGGAAAAACTGAAATTAAATCTCTAAAAGGTAAGAATAACATATTTTTAAAAAGGCACTATTCAGAGAATCACAAAAGAAACTGATTGAGAGAATCAAGGCATATAGATCTTTTGTAGCTAGTTGACTGAATGAGATACAGCCAGGATCCATGGCCAGATAAGACAAAAAGATTGGACATGATCAGATCCAGTTTCCCATGTTAATATCAAATGTCAAGCACCAGTCTACTTGCGGCCCTGAGGGATTGGAGGCAGGATGAGTTTGGTGTTGGAACCTGGGCGGCTGAAGACTGCGATTGTGTGTCTTCTGTGTTGGCCAGACCTTTTCTCACTTGGAAACGTCTGTTTATATAGTGCTGTAAATATTAAGAAAAAAAGATACGGTACATATAGTTAACCCTTTTTTGGTACACTAAATAAATAAAATAAGCATTACATGGTATAAACACCAGAGTCATTTTTAGAATTCATTCGTAACAAAGTATAAAGAATGCCTTCCAAACAAGAAAAATAGGGGATAGCTTCATAATATATTATGGGCATATTTGGACAAGCCTTGGGTTGCATAGACCTGCCCAACAACCAGAAGGTTGCGACATCAAGTAACTTCTCTGCCACTTTTCTATCCTGCTCCTGCTCTCGGTGACAATGTCCTGCACCGTGCGCGTTCATAATCATGCATAAGCCCGCTTAGAGCAGGCACACACCCATCCTGAAGTCCTTCCTAGAGAAACCTCATGTAATGCCTCTAAGGTTGGTTTTGTTCACCAAGGATGAACCATGGCACTAGGTTCCTTCAGTGACTGTGGGGAGCAAGAGTTTGGAAGACAGTGTGAACACAGAGCATGGTGGCCAGAGGCAGCCGTGTTCTCACTGGGGAGGAAACAGTGCAGCACGACTGGAAAAGCGAGGCAGGAGATTCTATAAGGATTGAGAAAAATGCAGTGACCTATAAGATCCGGAAGACTCAATCCAAAATGTTAAAGGAAAAATGGACCTTTTAAAGGTATACTCAGAGCAAGAATGGCATACTCCTTAGGAAGACGATATTATGCTAACTGAAGACAAAAAAGGAAAAAGACAAGAAATATCTCTGCCTTGTTTGCTGCTGCTTTATTTTTTTTTCCACCACGGAAATGCTTTTTAAACTGGAAAGGGTAACAAAAACATCTTCAGAGAATGAAGTCTTGGAAGAGGAAAGAAGACAGTGGAATAGGAGGCCTCATAATCAGCCTGGGTAGCCAGGTAACTTCCAGCCCAGCGTGCTGAAAGAGCTCACGGTGGTAGTTTTAGAGTGTTTGGTCTCTGGGAACCCACCGACAGTGAGAAAAGCACTGGAGACAAGTGATATTGCCATTTAAAAAACGGGTATGAAGATTTACAAACCAGTGCACCTGACTAAACCTTAGTATATTTGGGTCTATGAAACAAATGGTTTGTGCATTTAGAAAATACTGAACTGAGTGCTAAGTGTTGGAAGGGATTTGCAAAGAAAACTGTTTCAAATTAACTTCATTTCCCTTTTGCTTACGCTGGGGTAAAGAAGCTATAGGCCATAGGCCAAATCTGGTCTGCAGCCTGTTTTAGTAAACACAGTTTTATGGGAACCCAGCCAGTGCCCATTCATTTACAAATGTCTACGGCTGCTCTCACACTGCGATGGTCATGTTGAGTAGTTGCGGAAGAGTCTATGTGGCTCACAAAGGCAAAAGCTTTTACTATGTGACCCTTTACAGAAAGCTTCCTGACCTCTCAGTTAGAAAATACCACTGATATAATGCATCTTAATTTCTGCAAGACACATCTCAAAGTTTCTCGTGTGGATGCACTAGAGAGATGTGAGTAGGAATCAGTCCAGGTAGGCTCTCTGTGGAATTCAGCCTCTGGAGACTTGTCACAGGACACCCCTTGGCTGAGTGCTGGATCCCCTTGCTGACAATGACGAGCACACAGGCACAGGTGGCAGCTTGCTGGTTTCATAGAAATATGATGTAGTAAATGTGGAAGATGAATCAAGACCCAAAATGACGCAATCAAGCTAGAATGTGGGGCTGAAACCAAAATGATAAAAAGATGAAAATAAAAGTTGTGTTTATGTAAAAAGAAATCAAGTGTGCATATATTGCACGATAGAAACCTGGCTTGGTAGTCCACGTGAAAAAGATAAGAGAGTTTAACTGATCCAGAGCTACTAGTGTGATGCATTGGTAAGAAAGCCACCAAAGAAGGATGTTGGCAAGATAGCAGACTAGGAAGCTCCAGGCCCTTGTTTCCCCATGGAAACATTAAATAAACAACTAGCTAAAATAACTATAGGAGCTCTAGAAATCAGCCAAAGATCTACAGCAACCAAGTGAATGCCCAATCAAGAAAAAGCCACATTATGAGCAGGAAATTTCTAGGTGCTTTTTAGTCACCTTTGCCCCAACCCCAACTTGGCAGGCCAAGGAACAGTTCCCCAGTTCCCTTCTGTGCCCCACCTGCCTGGGCACTGCCTGATTGGTCTCTGTACCACCTAACTCAGAGCTCACGTGGCCCCAAGTGGTGTAGCTGAGACCTCACACTGGGGGAAGCCACAGGCCCACGGGAAGCGCATGCCTACGAAAGGACTGAAAGATTCTAAGCCGTCACACTGGGCTGACCCTGGGCTTGGAGCTGTTAAGTAGTCAGGATCTTCCCTGCACAGGCCCAGTTTCTAGACTGGGGAGAGGTAGCTGTTTTTTCAAATTCAGTTTTCAACAAAGGATCACAAGACATGAAGAAACAGGAAAACATGGCCTATTCTAAGGAAAAAAATAAATCTCCAGAAACCAGCCCTATAGACAACTACCATAATCTCCTGCTGTGTGTACAAAAATTTCCGAATATAATACCCAACAGGCGTTGAGCACTTTATTTCTTACTTATGCCATACCCCATCTTACTGGTCCTATATTATTATATTATATATTACATAATCATGTGCATGGTAATATGGGATATTACTGTAGTATTATAGGACAGATACATTATTCCCAAGACTCAGACATTAACTGATTTGCCAGCACATGCCTCCACACAATAGTAGAGATGGAACCAGAACTCAGGTTTTCTGATTCCTAATTCGGTCTTCTTCCCACTGTATCACCCACCCCACAGGTCACAGCCCTACTCTGCTCTGGCCAGACTACGTTTGGAATGCAGTTTTGATTCTTAAGTATTCCAGGTAAGGAAGGATACAGGCAGAGGAGAGAAAATGTGATAGGAAGGGTCTGGGAACACGATCCTCTGGGTAGTGGTGAGTCTCGGTGCCATGTTTTGTCCAGGGTTCCTGCGTCCCCTCAGGCCCTGGAGTGGCAGGTTACAGGCTTTAAGGGGTTCCTAGAACACTGCCCACATCCTGTAAGATGACATAAAGTGTCTACTTGAGGATCTGGGATTATTTGCTGGAATTTTGGTCTTAGGACTCTAACCTTCACTGGGTCCTCCCTCATGAGTGAAATCCTGGAAAAATACCTCATCTCAGCCAGCTCTCCTGAATACAACTGCTGCTGAAGATGGAGTCCACCTTTGAACTGGTTAGAAGACGCATCTTTAGGAAGCCTTCCTTCTGGAGATGCCATCCACAGTGTCCTCCTGTCCCCAGCAACCTGACAAGTCATATTCTCTTTCTGGTTCCCCTGGTCACCTGAACAAGCAGGGGATCCTCATGTCCTCTCCTGAACTCAGGCAGACCCCCAACCCCACACCACCTTCCAGCCTACAAATGGTGGCTCCGTCCTAGCTTCCAGGTGCTAGAGAATTTCCCCAGTCCACCCATTCCTCTATCACCTGTTCACAGAGCCCCATCTTCTATCCTGACACTGGGTTCCTTTCTCCCTTTCCCATTTTTACCCCTAGTTCTTCAATCTCCCCACACTGTTTAAGGCGTTTATTCACTGTCGCTTGTGAACATTGACATGAAGCCCGGGGACAAAACTCTGATACTAGTCTGCCTGTACCAGGAGATACCCATTCACATGCGTGCTGGGGAGCAAGGAGCAAAAATGGGGGACCTGAGCCAGATCCTTCCAACCTAAAACCACCAAGATTCTGCCAGATCCCCAGCACAGGAGAGTGGCCGGTGCTGAAACCTTCCTTGCTTCTCGTCACCTTCACTGAATGGAACTCAAGTCGCCAAAGGCCTCCTCCAGGCACATGTGCCGCTGGCCTGGAAGTCCCTTGCAGCTAGTGTGGCCAGATGGGCTGGGCAGCAGTCCACTCTAAGCAGCTCAGTGACCTTGGGCACATTCCCGACCTTTCTGAACTTTGCTTCTCATCTACAGCAATGGGAGACAAATAACCCACCCTACTTCAGAGGAGAGATGCTGACTTGAAAGACTCAGTAGACTTTAAAAACCAGGAACAGTCATAAAAAGAGTGGGGAAGAGATACATTTAAATAGTAAGATTCATACTTACATGAGAACCGTATGTAAAACACCTCATACCTTTTAGGGCCTGATCCTCCTCCTCGCCACTTCTTCCTGTTCCTGGGCGTGAGTAAATGCTGCCCTCTGGAGGCTGAGGAGACAATTCTTTTGCCCACGGACAAGACTGAAATAATCCAGAATGGTTCATAGGACCAGGGGAATCCTTGCCACTGAAAAATGAAAAACGAATGATATCTTTGAGATGAGAAACTACTAATGGCTCTACGATCTATGCGTGTGACTTCACCGGGTTACCTTTCCCAAGTCGCGTCAGTCGTTTGTGAACATGTCTTTGCGGAGCTAGTTTTCAATGGTATCTACGGCAAAGTTATAGAGCAGCTGACATGTTAAGTACGATGCATATCAGCATAAACTTCTCATCCAATAGCTCTAACATAACTGAGTACCTATAAGAGCAAGGCATTGTGATAAAACCATGATGAGTAAGGCTAAGATCCCGACCCTCTATCCCCTGCAGTGGGAAGTGCCATTATTAGCCCATGTTTGGGATTTTTCTCTCTAGAAGTACAACTAGACTGAGTCTTTCCCCCCTAATTACAGCCTTAGATGCATTTGCATTTTATGGGCCAGATCTTTGATTCCAAACTATGGAAGCATAAAGGTATTCTTTCTTCTTTTAGTGAAAAACATAAAACCCATAGATTTTATGGCCAAATCTCTAAACTAATATAAATCTAGTATGTTGAAGAAAACACAAAAATAAAGTGGAAAGAAAAATTTCACTGGGTTTTTTTAGTACAAATCTATTAGTTTGCTAGGACTGCTGTGACAAAGTATTGTGGACTGAATGGCTGACAGTTATTGTCTCACAGTCCTGGTGTCTAAGGGTTGAGATCCAGGTGGTGGGGGGCTGTTTCCTTCTGTGGGCTGTAAGGAAGAATCTGTTTTGCCTCTTATCTAGCTCTGGTGGATGGCTGGCCATCTTTGGGACTCCTGGGCTTCTGCATAACCCCAGGCTCTCTCCCTCTGTGTGTGTCTGTGTCCAAACTTCCCTTTTCTGTTTATAGGGACACCAATCATATTGGATTAGGATTCTGCCTTACTCCAGTGTCACCCCATCTTAAGTCATTACAGCTGCAATAACTCAGTTTCCAAATAAGGTCACATTCTGGGCTATTAGGGGTTAGGATACCAATACATGAATTTGAACAATTCAACCCATAACAGCTGGGTCTCTTATTGTTGAAAACGAGTACACCTTCATATCTTCGAGTACGCCTTCATACCTTTGAGCACACCTTCATACCTTCATTTAAAACACACACTAAAAGAGGGATCACAGAGTAAGTTCTGCCTTTCAACAATTTCTTTTCCTTGGAATCTATGAAAGTATTAAATGAAAATGCTTTGAAAGTCATATGTATAAATGTGGTAGAATTGAAATTCACGTGTTACTACATGTGGATGGTCAGACTTGAGTGATAGTGCCCACTGTAGCCTATTAGGTATTCTTTTTTTCTCTCTCTCTGTTATGGACTGAATGTCTGTGTAACCCCCACTCCTGTTCATATGTTGAAATCCTAACTCCCAATGGTTATTAGGAGCTGGTACCTTTAGGAGGTCACGAGGTCTTGAGGTGGAAGCCACTTGAGTGGAATTAGTGCCCTTATAAGAAGAGAAACAAGAGAGCCTGCTCTCTCTCTCTCTGCTCTCCACCACAGGAGGACCCGGCAAGAAGGCGGCCATCTACAAACCGGAAGAGCACCCACACCAAAACGCCGCTGTGCTGGCACCCTGATCTCAGACTTCTCAGGCCCCAGAACCATGAGAAATAACTGTCTGTTGTTTAAGCTTCCCAGTCTACAGTGATTTGTTACAGCAGCCTGAACTGACCAAGACATACTCTCTCACTGTATTCTCATCAACCTACTGAGCTAAAAATCCAGCACTTGAATAAATCCTCAGAGATTTTAAGCTTCAGGATTGTTAAAGAAAGCTAATTAACTAATTATAATACTAATACCAGGGTCTCTAGATCTACTGAAATGTAGAGACTTGGGAGAACTATTTAGAAGGGACAGATATTTTTCATCATCGAATTTATGAAAGGAAACCCAAAGTATTACAATAAAATTCAGAAATTAAGGGAAGCATTATTCATTTTTTAAACTGTCATTCTCATTATGACACATCTCCTCATCAAATATCCCTTTGCTCTATCAGACTTTTAAAATAATTTTTTCAAGTTATATTAAAACTTCCAAAATTATTGTGTTCATTGTTGAATATATGAGGGAAGAACAAAGAAAATAAAAATTGGCCATAGTCCCGTTGCTAGAAGATAATACTGATAATATTTTGGTGTATAAAATTAAAAATCCCAGAAATTACACATGAACATTTTTGAACCCATCTTACACTGGATATGCATTTGCATCTGACTTTCAACACTTACCATTCTAGACAATGATTTGTATTTAATGCTTTATAACTTATCTAAAAATTTTTTCAGCATATAGAGGGATGTAGTAAACTTAATTACATCTAAAGGGCCAGTTTTTCCCATTTATTGAATATGTCATCAAATTCTCATGGATTCTTAATAGATTTTTTAGGATATAAAAACAAAATATATAACCTGTGCAGACAATTTAGAAGATACAGAAAAAGAATAAAGAAGATAAAAATAATTGATAATTGTAGAGAAATATGCACTGTTAATATTACAGTGTACTTCCTTCCAGTCACGTTTCTTATCTGTTATGTTACCATGTATTCAGACACTCCACACAGACTGCCAAACCCATGGACTCCTTCTGAAGAGTTCTTTACTTGGTTCTTTCACTAGTCTGGCCACAGATGACTGGACTAAGGAAGAATACCTGATATAGGGGTGACCAATCTATACACTCACCTGCTACTTAGATCTCTATCCCCAAGTGGTACCCCGAGTAGATAGCAATTGACTCAACCAGCCAGATCTTTGCTTGGTAAGTTTGGACCCAAGACTTACAGAAAGGTAGTCAATTGTAGTGGCAGGCACAGCTGATGCAGAAACAGAATGTAGTAGAATGCCCACAAAAGCCCAGCACTAAAATTAGGGGTACACAGTCTGCTGTATGGGGTCTCAACTAAACACATATGGCACTTTTGAAACACACTTTGACAAATGAAGCATGGGGACCCTAAAATGGGTATATATTTTTTACACATTGAACATCAACCGGTGGGCATTTTGAAACTTAGCATTGTACTAATCAAAGATGTTGATTGCAAAGACACCAAATCTAGCTAACTTGAATATTAAAAAGAGAGTTATTGAAAAGCTATTGGGTAGTTTATCGACTTAATGGACAACTAGAGAATCGGGCTTAAAAACCAGGCAAGAGCCAAGGTAGCTTGGTGCCAAGATACAGCCAAGTCTCAGTACAGGGAGAGACTAGTAGGTCAGCACTGCTTGCATCCCGTGGTGGGCTCTTGATCCTTCTTCCACCGTTGGTGACTTGCGGAACCTCTGACTGCCCCTTTGTCTTTGTATCACTCCCTGAAGATTCAAAATCCCAGAGAGAAGCTTTTAACTGTATGAACCAGGTTATGCCTATGCCCCTCCTAGAGGGCCAGGATCTACTCCCTTTGAATTCCGTGGTGGGAGGGGAGGCTGCTTCCCAGTTTCAGGATTTTTCAGAAACCTAGGGATGAGTGTTATGATCTTAACTAGTCAGCACTATTTTGATTCCATCAATCCTGAACTCACCTCTTTTCAGGATATGGTCCAAATAGAGTTTTAAAATAATCTTCACAAAGCTCAGAATTTTTCTGTAGTTCTAAAGCTGTAAAAAAATGTGTATCATTGATGCTGGGTACTGGTACTGGACCCCTGAAATTGAAAAAAAAAAAAATCCAAGGAGTTTTGTAATGATACTAGGCAAGCACACACACAATACCTAAATACTATTATATCCACATAGAGGCAAATACCAATAAAATCTACTTGGGAAAATATATTGTTATCCACTTATAAACATTCACTTCAGGTCTTGTCTTAGACACTGGCTTTATTACATTCTAATTAGTAGATTATGCAAATTTGTATTATTGTGACTATTCCTTATCCCTTAAGCCATTAATATAGGCAAATTATCTTCCTACTGATTAGTATGTATTTTATTATAAACCCTAGTCCATTTGTTATGTGAGTTCCAGCAATATATCAACTGTTATAAAAATTGCAATGGATTTATATTTTCCAATTTTGTACATAATCTAATGTTTTGAAATTATTCCAGAATAAAATTTTTCTAAAAATCCTAATTTTGTACTCACACCTGAACTCTAGTATAAAATAGTCTTTATTTTATTTTTTATTTTTGCTTATCTATACAAGCCTGTTTCCCCAGCGTGACTTGAAAGAATCATTAACCATTTTTGGTGAATATATCCTACTGGTATTCATCCCAAACTTGTTAAATAGAGTGCTGTGTGCAAAGTAGCCCAATTGCATATAAATGCATGCAAATTCAAAACCTCTTATCTGCCCTATTATGCCTCATTTGGAGCTCATATTTAACATTGTTTAGTATCTCTGTCCACAGGGTTTTAATAGGCACGGACACTCTGTGGGTCACACAGGCCCCACCTTCAGCTGCTCTGGGGACACTGCTTATCTCCTGGCCACCAACCTCCCAGCCCCTCATAGAACTTCACATATACCATACAGCCTGTTTTTGAATCAGACTATCCACAAATAGCCTGCCAATATGGAGAAAATTAGTCACAACTTTTTTCAATGTATCACACATAGACACAACTTAACCTTCATCTATATTGGTTAAAGATTTTCAACAGACAGCTTAAAATCATAGACAATTAAAAGAAGTGAAATTGAAAAAATTTTTAAATGGCTTTTTTATTCCACTTTCATGAATCATTACATTCAAAAAAGCTTTTTAAAATGCTCTAATTAAGGTCCTGTCAATGTTCTCAGTAACTTTCTGAAAAGAGGGACTTCACTTTATTAATCAAATTTTCTAAAAGGGCACACACATAAAAGAGAATTCAGAATAGTTAAGCCTGTAACATGAGTGAGAAAACAAAATGCGAACATTTCATAACCATCCTATGACCTGCTTATTCATTTTGAGTAAGTCTTAAAATCGAAATGTGCCTCTTCATATGTCATAATTAATGGTACAATAATTAATTCTAACCACTGACTCATGATGCCTTTACTATGTAACAGGAACTAAATGAAACATTTCATATTAAATATTAAGAATTCGTGTATTCAAGAAGATACTTAGATTCAAAATATCATTATTTACCATCATCAAAGACTACAAAGAATCATCAGCTTCTGGCAGCTGTGAGCATATCATGCCTTTTAAAAAATATATAAATGAGAGGAAACACAACTTCCAGAACTAGGCTTACTACTGAATTACTGCCTCCATATTAGTCCAGAGGGCCTTGTTTGTGTTGATGACTCAGGATTCGTTTGGCTTAGTTGGGTACTAGAAAATAAATCTACAGATGCCCGGGTATAAATATATGTGATAAATCCCTACCTTTGAAATAGCAGTGTGTGATGTGGAGGCACCTTTCCCATTAGGATCTCCCGGGATGCCTTATACTGTCTCTCAATGGAATCTCTTTCCTAGGCAAGAAATATGATCAGGAAATTATATTGATGTTAAAAATACATCAGACGGTTACAATAACTAAAATCATCCTTTTCGTACTAAATATTGCCAAATACATGGAGAGAAAAAGGAAAAAAAAATGTAGGCTTAAAAAACAACTGATATCTGCTCAGTGGAAAAAAAACCCTTAAGAAATCAAAATATTTTTATGAAGACTGCAATTTAATATATCATTTGACATCTAAATAATAATGTGGCAATTTTTATTAACTGCATGTTTATACCTTATCTTTCTAATGAGATTATCTCTCAAGGATACAGATTATTATTGTCTTTTTAGTCTTCCTAGGTCTTAGCACGCATAATAACTCACTGGCTATATCCAGCAATGGTTAATTATGATCTTGAAATAGGACAAATGGGAAGTTTTTCTCCCATATTTCACCAATATCACTGTCACCATCACTAAATACTTTGTGAACATTTGATGGGGATACAAAAATATAAAAGACACAGTCTCTGCATTCAAAAGGTTTATCATCTGGTGGCAAAATCAGATTAAAAAGAGGAAAAAAGCAACAAGATAGTACTGCTGTTTTATACATAGTATAACATGTGCACACACAGATTATCTGATGGGAACATGACCTGTTCAGCAACTGTCCATGTACTGAATTTCCTCACTTCAAGCAAGCCTAATATATAACATTCTTAATAGAAAAGATAAATTAGCAATGCTTATTTGTTTTACCTGAAGACTCATTATAAAAAATATAATGGGATATATAACATCTATTTAAACAGCAAATGCATTTAATTACTATGTGTCTTGGTGTTGTCTTCCTTGGGTCCCTTGTGTTGGGAGATCTGTGGATCTCCATGGCCTGAGAGACCATCTCCTTCCCCAGATTGGGGAAGTTTTCAGCAACTACCTCCTCAAAGACACTTTCTATCCCTTTCTCTCTCTCTTCTTCTTCTAGTATCCCTATAATGTGAATATTGTTCCGCTTGGATTGGTCACACAGTTCTCTCAATATTCTGTCATTTTTAGAGATCCTTTTTTCTCTCTGTGCCTCAGCTTCTTTGTATTCCTCTTCTCTAGTTTCTATTTCATTTATTGCCTCCTCCACCGTATCTGACCTGCTTTTAATACCCTCCATCATGTTCTTTAACAATTGGATCTCTGACCTGAATTCATTCCTGAGTTCTTGGATGTCTTTCTGTACCTCCATTAGAATGTTGATTATTTTTATTTTGAACTCCCTTTCAGGAAGAGTCACAAGGTCCATATCATTTAAATCTTTCTCGGGAGTTGTATTAACAATTTTACTCTGGACAAGGTTCCTTTGGCATTTCATGTTTGTATATGGGGCCCTCTAGTGTCCAGAAGCTCTATTCTGGAGCTGCTCAGCCCCTGAAGCAATGTCAGGGGTCGCAGGGGAGCTGTACTGGTGCCTGGGGGTAGGAAAGAGCTGTTCCCCGCCTCCCGGCTGCTGTGCCTGTCTCCACTGCCTGAGCCAGTGGGCCGGTCACACAGGTATGTTTTTGTCCCAGAGCAGCTAGATATGTATCCCTGCTTTCCACAAGCAGCCAGAATCCCAGTCTCCCCAGGAACTCTGCCTGTATTAACTTTCCAACCCAGTAGTCATGCGAGTCTCATGAAAGCACCATGGAATGTAGGTTTGTGCTCCCAGCGCAGATCTGCGGAGCTAAGTGTTCAGCAGTCCCAAGCCTTCTACTCCCTCCCTGCTCCATTTCTCTTCCTCCCGCTGGTGCACTGGGGTGGGGGAGGAGCTCGGGCCCCACAGAGCCACAGCTCTGGTACGTTACCCCATTTGCTGAGGTCTGCTCTTTTCTCCAGGTGTGTGCAGTCTGATGCTGTCCTCTTTCCTGTTGCTCTCTCAGGATTAGTTGCGCCAATTAAATTTTCTAATTGTATCCAGTTTTAGGAGGAAGCCTCTGTCTCTCCTCTCATGCCGCCATTTTTAATCCTCTAGCAAATGCATTTAAAATACACTAATCTTTGCTTGCTATAGCTTAATATGACATAAACCTGTTTTGATCTTAATGTCCTTACCAGGCTCCTCTACAAGTTGATATTCACTTAAAATCACATAGGAAACAACAACAAACAAGCACACTCATGGCAGGATACATACAAGAGCTGTGGCGTGAGCTCAGAGTTCCAGGTGGATCACCTGTTCTAACATGGGGGGCCAGCATAGTTTCAAATGATGACATGTCTTTGGGGGAATTTGCTAAGAATCGATATTTAAGGATTAAGTTAATGTGAACCTAAAAACATTTCTCTATTACAAAACTTATCTGCAGGAGTGGCTGTGCCCTGCAGTGATGCCAAGATGGGCACAGTGAGCATCTCTGGAAAACAAGCCACACCCAGAGACCAGAAGTCCCTTTGGTCACTCCTGGATCCCCTGTACACAGCACACAAACTTCATCAAGAAGCAGGAGCTCAATACATATCTTCAATGTACAACAGTATAAATTTGGGGGGATAAAATGAAGAGTGAATAATGTTTACCATTCCTGGTAAATTGAACTAGAACTTTCTGTCAATGCTTGCTAGCTTGAGAATTCTGGGTCAAGTTTTTGAGATTGTCTCTTAGACACCATGACACATGAGAGCTCATATGTGGATTCATTGAACATAAGCTCTTAAGTGGATATTGATTGTCAAGACCATTTTACTATATCTCTGACTGATAGCTTGTGGTTCTATATAAGCAGATGAGGAGAAAGTATCTGTTGGGTGAGAGGGAGGGGGTCTGTAATGGAAAAAGAAGGGAAGAAAAGAACAAACTATTCAAATTTCACCATTTAAAAACTGTATGTGTATACGGCCAATTAATACACGATGAAGGAGCCATGGACATACAATGGGGAAATGACAGCCTCTTCAACAACTGGTGTTGGTAAAACTGAATAGTTACATGTAAGAGAATAAAACTGGATTACTGTCTAACCCCAGACACAAAAGTAAACTGAAAATGGATCAAAGACCTGAATGTAAGTCATGAAACAATAAAACTCTCAGAAGAAAACAGAGGCAAAAATCTCTTGAATATAAACATGAGCAACTTTTTCCTGAACACATCTTCTCAGGCAAGGGAAACAAAAGCAAAAATGAATAAATAAGACTACATCAAACTAAAAAGCTTTTGTACAGCAAAAGACACCATCAGCAGAACAAAAAGGCATCTTACAGTATGGGAGAATACATCTATACATGACATATCTGATAAGTGGTTGACATCCAAAATATATAAAGAGCTCACATGCTTCAACACCCAAAAAATAAATAACCTGATTAAAAAATGGGCAGAGGATCTGAACAGACACTTCTCCAAAGAAGAAATTCAGATGGCCAACAGGCACATGAAAAGATGTCTCACATTGCTAATCATCAGGGAAATGCAAATTAAAACCACAATGAGAGATCACCTCACATCAGTTAGGATGGCCAACACCCAACAGACTAGGAACAACAAATGCTGGCAAGGATGTGCAGAAAGGGGAACCCTCCTACACTGTTGGTGGGAATGTAAATTAGTTCAACCATTGTGGAAAGCAGTATGGAGTTTTCTCAAAAAACTAAAAATAGAAATACATTTGACCCAGGAATTCCACTCTTAGGAATTTACCCTAAGAAAACAAGATCCCAGATTGAAAAAGACATATGCACCCCTATGTGTATTGCAGCACTATTTACAATAGCCAAGATATGGAAGCAACCTAAGTGTCCATCAGTAGATGAATGGATAAAGAAGATATGGTACATATACACAATGGAATATTATTCAGCCATAAGATGAAAACAAATCCTACCATTTGCAACAACATGGATGGAGCTAGAGGGTATTATGCTCAGTGAAATAAGCCAGGCAGGGAAAGACAAGTACCAAATGATTTCACTCATTTGTGGAGTATAACAACGAAGCAAAACTGAAAGACCAAAACAGCAGCAGACTCACAGACTCCAAGAAAGGACTAACAGTTATCAAAGGGAAGAGGTGGGGAGGATAGATGGGGAGGGAGGAAGAAGGGGATTAAGGGGCATTATAGTTAGCACACACAATATAGATAGGTCACAGGAAAGGCAGTACAGCATGGAAAAGACAAGTAATGACCCTATAACACCTTACTACACTGATGGACAATGATTGTAATGGGGTTTGTGCTGGGGGGACTTGATAATATGGTTGAATGTTGAAACTACAATGTTGCTTATGTGGAACCTTCATAAGATTGTGTATCAGTGATATGAAACTAAAAAAGAAATCATCAAGGGGTCAATAAATGTGAAAAAACAACTATATGTTTAAGTAACCCCACAGATACATCTGAATTGTATCACATTACTATAAAATTACTATATATTGGCCAAATCTACTCTCCTACTCTCATGTTAATTTGTTATTATTTTTTCTCAAATTACCTATACAAGTACATACATTTTCTATGGTGACTTAGATTTATACCACCCTTAACTTTTTCTTACATTGATACTTGGTTCAAATTATATCGTGATTGGGAAGGTAACAGTGGTAATGGAAGCATAGTGTTTGGATCTTCTAGAATTTCCACATAAAAATAGAGGATGGCGGTGGAGCCAAGATGGCAGTGTGAGTAGAGCAGTAGAAATCTCCTCCAAAAACCATATATATTTTTGAAAATACAGCAAATACAACTATCCCTAAAAGAGAGACCAGAAGATACAGGACAACAGTCAGGCTACATCCACACCTGAGAGAACCCAGTGCCTTGCGAAGGGGGTAAGATACAAGCCACAGCATGGCGGGACCTGAGACCCCTCACCCCAGCTCCCGGCGGGAGTAGAGGAGTCGGAGCGGGGAGGGAGAGGGAGCCCAGGACTGCTAAACACCCAGCCCTAGCCATCCGCACTGGGAGTGCAGACACACAGTGCATGCATGGGGTGCTGGAAACTAGGGAAACAGGACAATAAGACCTGTGAGCAGATCCCTGCAACCTGCAC